TGCTTGCTTATACCTCCCATATGTATGTGCCCCCTTTCCTGGGTCCAGTCTGCCATGAGTTTTAGGTATATTAAAATGCCACCTTGGAAAGGTGACCTTGTTAGTTATATTGTAAATTTGAAGAGGTGTTTCTTGTCCCATGTGTCACCATGTCATGGTATCCTTTTTTCAGTTGACTTTCCACTAAACAGATCTCCCTGATGGGGGAGTTCTTGACTGGAATGATGTCAGGATAACATGGTGTGTCAACTACCTCCTTCCACACTGTGACCCCAATACCTGACATAAGCCACTTGCTAGGAGATTGGGGGAAGATGATTTGGACTCATGGTTTGAGGGGATGCAGTCCATCATGATGGAGAAGACATGGCTGTGGGCTACTGCATGACACGGAAATGTGAGGTAGCCTGCTTACATCTCAGTGCCTGATTAGGAAACCAGAACTGGGGTGTGTATAATTCTAGTCCCAACCCCAAGCCTGTGTCTGCCAGCTAGACCCAAAGTGCAAAAGGTTCCCCAACCTCTGAAGACAGTGTTACCAGCTGGGGAATGAGTATTCAAACCCAGGAGTCTGGGGGGAACATTTCACAGTCAAATCATAACTCAGGGACTTTACATAGTGTAATTGTGGTAGAAGCCGTTTTCTGCCTTTTGGCGCTGTCCACTCCTGGGATGCCCAGGACACTGGTCTGTGTCCTTGGTTCCTGTTCCTCCTCTTCCCTTTCTCTTTTATTGGGCCATATTTTTCTTTATTCTAGATTCTCAGTCAGAGAAGCAATGGTCTCAAGGTTCTGTAACTAACACAGTTTGACTTTTGCCTTTAAATACATGTTAAATTCTATTTAGCATATTAATGGATGAAACTTTTTCAGATAGAAAATAGTAAATCATTATATGACTTAAGATGATTTCTGAGATGTTTGTGCATCTGCTTAATGATGAAGCTTTTGTTCATAAGCAACATTTGCTTATTTTAATTAATGAACTCCAGTGGAGATGGACAGATGAGTAGATATGAACTTATTTGCACTTCAGGATAAGGGAACTCTGAATGCATCAAATAATATAAGAAACTGTTTTCTCACAGAAAGAAAAGTAATGTTGGAACAAAAAATTCAATTATGTAATAGTTACAAATGTGGAATTCGTAACTATTTTTTAGCTTTGGGTAGAATAAAATTAGCTATATTTTAAAGGAACTATTCAGGTGAAATACAAAGAAGGGATTAAACATGCATCAGCCACTTCTGATCTTCCTGAGCTAAAAAGAGTTAAAGAAAACCAGAAGAATAGCAGGGATGTCATCACATTTCCTTAGCTATTTGTCTATTTAGGTGCTTTACCAATACCAATATATAACCTACACAGGCAAAATCTCATCACAGTGGGTGCTACTGCAGCATGGTCACTCCTTAAAAGTGGAGATAACATTTCCTACAGCTTTATGCCTTCCGTGATGCTTGTATGGTGCTTCTGGGGCATCTGTTACTGAAGGTCCAGTATGTTCATGTTCCTAGGAATTCAACAATGAATGAGATAGCTGTAACAGGTTGTGGGTATTCTCACGGTCTCTAGGAGAAACAGGGACTGATTCACTGTTGTGCATTGTTTAAATGCTATCACAATAATTAGTATTTACTATGTTATTATGAATACCTGACAAGTACCATCTCATTTAGCCATAATTAATAATACCCCTTGAAAGGTGCTCTGGAAATGTGAAGGAGAAAGTCTAGGTCACAGGGAGAGAGGAACAGTCCTGAAGAAGGAGTAACTTTGAAGTTCACTCTCATAGAACTGATAATGATTCCAGTGGATTTGGTGAGAGAAGGCCTTTCTGTTAGAGAAACTGAGTCTGTTCAGGATCCAAGTCCTGTGCACAGAGGAACTGGCTTTAGTGATGAGTACTTGGGATGGAAGTTGGCAGCAGGTGATGGTGAGGACAGGAGTTGCAGTCCCCACCTCTACCTGCTGTAATGGGAGTTTCTTTGTCCCTCTAGTGTGGCTCATATGATCCTGGCATTCAGGATGTTAAGTGACCCACTAATGCTCAGTCCTTGACTTAGTGATTAAACTCAATTGTCTTACTGAATACTTCCTTTAAAAAAGTTACTAATCTTCAATTATGGCAGAAGTAGCACTCTCTTATAATAACTATTTGAAAAAAAAGTGAGTTAATTTAATAAAGACGTAATGTTACACTGACGCAGATGCCATAGAATTTCCCCTGTGTGGCACATAGAAAATGGTATGCATTTGGCAAAATTGGGAGGTTTAGGTAACACTGCAGAGGAAATAGGAGCATGGACCCTAGGCGGTTGGTAGGTTTGGCTCCAGAGTGAGACTTTATTTACTATATGCTCTTCGCCAACCTCTGGAAGAATCCTTACCTATAAAACGGGTGAGAGTATTAAAGAGATATTACCTTTCAAGCATAGGGCATATGGATGAACGCCTGAATTCACGGCAGTGTTCTCCCATCAAATTGATATCCCCAGGTTTACATCCCCAGCTAGGAATTTTAACTCCTCCCCACCAGCAGTGCTGTTCAACAGTTAGCTTTCAAGCTCTAGCCAGAATAATCTTTCCTTGGATCCTGCCACAACAGAAATAAGGCTGAGACATTCTTCACTGTAACGCTATTATCCCAGTCATGAGAACCTGCCTCAACTCTCAGGGAACACCACAACACAAAGGACAGCGTTCATTAGGGAAAGGTTATAGTGAAAGAAATCCAGCCTTTATCATTTACTTCCCAGGCTTCTCAACCTTCTCTTCATACACTTGTTCACTAATAAGAACACGCATTTCAAGTGGCATGTTCTTTGCAAGTTCCTGAGGCTAACTGTGCACTCTGCAAACTCCTTGATTTTTGCTGTATGGCTCCTTGCCATGGGATTTTGACGTCTAGCTCTACTTAGAGCAGCAGGTCAGGGGAGCTTCCATAATGCTGGGGCAGAGGTCAGGCCTTCCAATGCTGGATTTGGTAAGAGAGAAACAGGGTCCTGTGAGGAATGGTTAATAGTGACACAGTGCCACTGAAGTGGAGGTCTAGGATTTGTGTGCTCCTCCTTCTCAATGACAGGGGTGTGCTCATGACAAAACTATATTACATTTTAAGTGTTTTGTTATTAAAATAATAGTAACAAATCATTACCTTAAATATAGCATGATTGCTTAGTAAACATTGCTTTAAGGTCAAGAACTGGTGAATTAATAGAAGGGATAATTCCAAGTTGCTGTGAGATCAAGCTCAGGGAGCTCATTAGTAAATTATATATTTAAAGAATAACTCTGAAAGCCATAATTTAGAGCATTTGACAGGGAAAATTTAGGAACGGAATTTCATGAAGATAATGTCTTTTAACTGATGAATGCTCTGGGCATATGGTATGCCCTTCAATATGTTCCAATGTATTGACACACATTTATTTCCCATGATTCCAAATTGTCTCCTGCCTCGTTCCCCAGCTCCAGTATAAAGAGCGGAACTACAAAGCCACTCCAGTAACCATGACCCCAGAGATAGAGAGAGTGAGGAGGAACCAGGAGCAGCTGAGCGCGGCAAGTAGCTCCTTTTCCCTTTCTATGTCTGTCTCACATTGTGGATTTTCATTTTTAAAAATGCTCTCTGTGGAGCGCTGAGTGCACTATGCCTTTGGGCATTCCTTCACACATTCCCACACTGAAGGGCATGAAATGCAGCTCCCATGAATTGGGAAGTCTGCACCACGTTTACTTACTCAAGAAGTCTTCATTAAGCACCCAGGTATCATCTTGGTCACTGGGACAGAAGGATGGATAAGACATATACCCTGTCCTCATGGGCCCTATAGCTTACTGGTAAATCTCTAAAAGCATGTCCAGGTAGCAGCTAGTCAGTAGAGTGGTTTATTCACTGGAGGGGGAAAATCTATTGGAAATAGGGCAGGGGATGACCTGGCTTAGCTGGCACTCTACTATGTAGTATCAGGGAAGAGACCTTAGAAATGAAATGGAAGACCTCAGTCATTTCATCATCTATTTTAAGAAAGCAGTACTGGTTAATAATTGCGAGGCACCTCTGCTCTGTGCTGGACCCTCTATTAATGTATACGAACCCATGAGCTCAGCTTTATTTGTTTCTGACTGGTAGATCTGGGAAACTGAATTTTGAGGAATCAGAGGCCATGCCAAGGACCCATGGCTGGTAAGAGCAGAGATGATTGAACGCAGGACTCCCAGAACTCATAAATTCCTTCAAGGAAACCCCAAATAGTTACCTTTCACATTCTATGGAACTTTCCCTATGCCAGCAACAGCCACTTTCTTGTATTTTGAAAGACTAAAATTTAATAGCACATTCTCCTTGCTCTTACATAGTGGAGGGAAAAAATCAAGTTCGACATTATTTTTAATTGTATCTCTGGAAGGTGGAAGAAGTCAGGGGTGTTCTGAAGGTGGAAACCAGAGGTCAGGACAGAAACACCTCCTCACCTGTTGTGGGGACCCTATTCCTGTCTGCTCTCATGACATCATTCCAGTGTTTTGGGTTTTTTCTTTTATTTCAGCATGTGCCTTATATATATATATATCTGTTTTTTTTTTTATGGAATTGCATTCGGTTTTGACATGGGACAGCTAAGTATTTATTGAAGACTCCTTTTAAACACACAGCCAACACTTTGTGATCAGCTGGAGTCTGGGTTCAAGCAACAGGAAGCTGCTGACAAAATCCATGTGTAAAAAGGAAGTCGATGTTGGGCCTCATCCTTTGTGGTGTTCGCTCAGAGCGTATTCTGCCTTTTATTAAATTTTTAATGGGTCTTTCTGCTACTCTAACATTCCCCCCTCTAAAGATGTAACGCTAAAATCTTTTAGGGATTCGACAAGAACTCCCAAATACTTTTTGACATTTTTGGCCTTTGGAACAGAATATGTTGCTAAGAGGCCCAAAGACATTTTGACTTTTAGCCAAGAAACTGGCTACTTTTCTTTGGGGTCTTTTTACCCCAACTGCCTAGCCAATTCCTACCTCCCATTCTTACCACACCATCCTCTGAGGAGGTTACCCAAATTGCCGATGGGGAATTGGGATGCAGACAGCTCTGGCTTCTTCCATGCTGAACAGGGACGCAGGGTGAGGCAATTGGGGTACCCCATCAGTGGGTCTAAAAAAGAAAGAAAGAAAGAAAGAGTACACAAAGTTGTCAGGAAAATGTGATGGGAGGATTTGGAGGGGAGGAAGTGGGCATGGATTTGATCAACACACCTTATGTTCATGTATGAAATATTCAATATTTTTTTTAAAGTGAAAATATAAAATAAAATTCCTGTATCTCCTCTATAGGTCAAATACAAAGGAGAGCTAAAACAGGCAACTTCCATTTCGGATCCACCAGAGCTGAAGAGAGTGAAAGAGAACCAGAGAAACATCAGCAATGTGTGGTCATCTTAGGAACTTTGTTTCTTAATGATATCATGGTCAATGTGTAGGCAAAGGGATTGTACTGGAAAGTTCCGTCTCTGAGTTGGTATTGTGCTTTCAGCTGACTAACACCTCACTTGGAGGATCTTGGGGTGGCAGTTGTTACAGGCTACAGAGCTGCACTTTGTTTGTTGTCCTGCATGCTGTTCCATGTCCTCCCCATCTTGTTTCTATGCTGACCGTTGCCATGGTTCCCCCAAGGAAGGCTGGACAGCTTCTGGCCTCTTGGTCCTGCAGCCTAGCTTTCTCATGGTTTCTTACCTGCCTGTGTTCTCATTCTTCAGCCCCTCCTGGCCCCTTAGCTCAGGTGATGATCATTTCCATGTTTCTGGGCAGAAACAGTAAAGTATGCATGGCTGAACGAACAGATTATATGAAACGGTGTCAGTTTATGAGCCCTTGGTCCAGATCCGGTAGTTGTTGCCTACACTCATGGCTTGCATTAGTTTCCTTTATGTAATCTACATGCAGTTTGCTGAAAATCATTTAGGAGGTCATTAACATATAGAGTGGGTTCTTTGGAAGAGGAAATTTGGAAATCTATTACATTTAAAGAAATCTTTTATTCCTCAAACCCATAAAGCTTGTTGACCAATTCATGACGCAAAGGAAGGGTATCATTTGATACTCCTAATAGCTGTCTCCTGGAAAGCAGTTTGTTTCTTCCCAGTAGACTTTCGGGCACACTTGACCTGGCTCTACCACTCCACAGAAGGACTGTGGCCGTTGAGAAGGGGGAACGGAGTAGAGGGAAGCATGCTGTCCTCACGTGGATCACCACGATCACTTGTTTACATTCATCCTTTCAAAGTTCTATCATAGCTAATCTCTGAGAAAACACAACTGCAATACCATTCTGTTTAGATGAGACCTGTGAGTAATATCCATGAAACATTTCTCATATTCATCCATGATTAAAGGCTTACTGCAGGTTTACTGGTGATATATTTGAGAATATCCAGTGATGCAGAAGACATAGTGTGCGATAACAAAATGAAATAGATGCTTTAGGATGTGAGCATTTAAGTTCCTCCTCCTCCTCCTCCC